AGAAGCACAAACTCAGAATTGGAAAGGGAAGAGATATTGTGTTCTAAACCTTTGTGCTGTGATGAATCTACTTGTTAGGTGGATTATAAATCCAGATATACCATCTTAGTTCCGGACAGATTAGACTCCACCAGCAATGACAGCAGTGAAATAAATGTCCCATCTTTTTAAAGTTCAAAAATCTCCTGGAAGCATCCAGTTTGATAGATACTGCATTGCGTTGTCTTGTACTTGTACATGGGTAGTGACAATAAAGTTGAATCTAATCTAATCTGGTAAAGAAATCCACAGTTCAGTCACAATCCATAAAATGAAAGAAAGATGGGGGATGGTTTATGCATTTACTGCATTACTCAGTTTGAAAATGTATGGTACACACAAGTACACTAAAGAATAATCAATACTGTATACAATATATGAACAAATTATTTTATTTATTTATTTATGTTTGGTTACCTCGGGGCAGCAGAAACAATTCACACTCACCTTTCAAGTTTATATAATATGAATAATGTTTCAAGAGCAATTTCTGAAAATATAACTGCTTTAGTATGCTTAGTCAGCTGTTAAGAGAAGGTAAAGTGACCATACCATGTTACTGTATGGTTCAGAAAACAGCACTCGGTCCCGAAAGGCACAGATAGATTCCACCCTCAAGAAACATAAAAACTAGTGTGTGTGTGTGTGTGATGGAGAGAAAGAAACAAAGAAACAAAGAAAGATTGGATTGGTGGTCAGAGAGAAGCAGATTAATCTTTGCCCATCAGTGTAGGCGGCCTATAAAATCTGCTGTTAATAAAGCCTCTGTATTGGACTCCCTTAAGCTGCTGCTGCGGCTCAGCGCTACAAGCTGTATTCCCCTGAAGACAAGCTTTCATTAACTCGTGTGTGTGTGTGTGTGTGTGTGTGTGTGTGTGTGACTGAGGGAACACATGCTTGTGTGTGTGCTTGTGTGTGTGTGTGTGCTTCCCTTATCAGCTGCAGCTGGTGTTCCTGCACTACAAATGGAATCAAGAGTACAGCATGCAGCCAAAGTTGCAGTATGCAGCTTTGTAACATCACATGCACAATGTATTGGCATGAGCAAACATATAAATATTGTACACTGCCTCACATCCTTTAATATAATTGAAGGATTACAGTGTAGTCTAGTGTGCATGCAAAGCTGTGTTAAAGTGTGTTTAAATTGGACTATAAAACCAGCAAACTGGGACAAAGACACAGAAAGTGAGACTGTGGCATGTGGCAGCCAGCAATGTCACACTCATAGTGGGGTTACTGGATTGGGAGAGAGCGCGCCAAGGAAAGCAGCCGTAGGTTTAGAGCCATAGTAATACGCTAAATATCAACCCCAATTGTATTGTCATAAGGACAATAATGTAGCAGAAATTAAAAATGACTTAAAAAATTAACTGTCTATATTTTATGCTTTTTTTGCCATGCTCCCAAAACCAACTAATCATAGGGAGAGTGCCCTCCTAAAAAACATAACACAATCAGTCATTTCAGAAAGTGCTGCAATATGTGACATTGTTAAAGAGTGACAAAATTCATGTAGGAAGATAGTCTAGATAGGCGCCTGAGTCAACAAAACATTGGCTTTGAATGAGCTGTTTGGAGCAAAACTGAAACTAAGCCCCACTTTTTATACAGTACTGTATGTACTGAGTTGCTAGTTAATTAAGTGCATGTATCTAAAGATGATACTGTTTTAATGCGGTGTTGATTCAAATGTGTGTTTATTTTTGAGGGGGATTACTTTTTGTTGAAGTGTGTTGCAATAATATTTAGAGGTATTTCTTTTTTGTTTGGGCGTTTTTTTTCCCCTCCCCATTTTATCAGTGAGGGTACGCTATATTTGTATGAGCTCATCTACAGTATGCTGTGAGCAGCTGAAACAGAGGCCCACAGACCATTTCACTAACCATGAACCTAACATAACAGATTAGACTGTCTTTTTTACTAGTTCTTTTTACATTTCATAGTCTTTTTTCCAAGTCAAATATACCCAGAATACTATAAAACAATCCAAGTTTAGAGTAGCACAGGACATAAAATCAAACATTAAAAGTAAGTGAATACAGTTCATCTTTTTGTTACTGTATCTATATGGGATGGTCTGCCAAGGCTGGATTTAGACAGACATTTGCCCTGCATTAAAACAGCCGTGCCCTCAGTGAACCTGTGGGACAGCTAGTTTTAACATTCTTAAACAAAAACAACTCTAATAAACCAGAAATTAATATATTCTATGGTATTTGTATTTGGTCTGTGGATCAGTTTTATGTAAGCATTGTACTGAGGAACAGTAGCCTCCAAACATTAAGCTGAAAAGCTCTAGATCCAATATTCACTCTTACTACTGCTACTGCAGAAATATCTGGATCTTTATCTGCTAAATGCTCCACTATGATTTCTGTTTGGTGTCAGGTAAATAATGTGCAGTGGTTTTTTTTAGAGCCTTTTCACAAAATAAATTAATTAATTAAAAATGCTGCCTGCTGTAAATAAAATTGAGACTCGACCAAAACGATAAAAGCTGCAGGCTGTAAAACCAAAACAATGAGAAAAAACGTGCAAAAACCCAAAGTTCTGAAACTATTCTAGGGGAGGTCATCATAAGTGGTCCACATTACATGTATTTGATTTAGTTTCAATAATAATAATAATAATATATAGTCACTAATTCAGCTTTAGGATAATGTTGAAAAATGCAGCTTCCTCAGTCTCTGAACTATATTTCAGAAATTCAGTCCTCTCTAAACGGCTTGGTCGTAAATTCCACTACTCACCTTGCGTGAAGTTATAGTGGGCAGAGAAACCGATGGCCTCCAGTTCACCATCAGCCACAAATTTGATGTACAGGTACTTTCCACTGGAGCGGACATATGTGGGGCTTTCCTGACCACAGTAACGACCAATCATGGGCGAGAAACCAAAAGGCCCATCGCGGAGCTCGATGTGGTCGAACTTGCACTCCCAGGATGGCTCGATGGAATACTTCTCATCGAAGAACAAGTCGATGCACTGTCGGGGAGAGGCTGGGGGAGGAAGAGAGGTGGTGAGATAAAAGCAGAGAAGGTAAAGCAGGATGGTTTGAAAGGGAGTAAGTGCAAGGAAAAAGCCTCACCTTCTATAATGTAGATACATTCCCTCTCAGGCGGGTATTTGTCAGGGTAGTTGGGTGAGGTGAAATACCCCCCATCAGGCTCCTTCACCCAGGTCCCACACTGCTCAGCTGGTGTCACACCAGAGTTGTTCTTCACTGGAAAAGTCATACTTACTTTCAACTTATGTTGGAGTTATTTATATATATATTGTGTTACATTAGTAAACTAGAAATACTTTTCTGGGCTGTTATGTTTACTTTTGTTCTTCAAAATTACTGGAAATACTAATTTTGCAAGAAAGGTTTATTTATCTTGCCATGTCTTTTCAAGCTGAGAGAGGATCCATCAACTGTGATTCTCTAGTGAGTGGCTACCAGCACATTCATCTATCAACCCACCCAATCTTATTTTCTGGAAATGTGACATTTGACATATGGTAGAGGATGAGGTTAGGAGGGGTAGCATGGTGAAGCAGTGGTTAGCACTATTGCTTCACAGCAAGAAGGTTCTGGGTTCAAACTTTATGGCTGACCAGGGCGCTCCAGAGTCCAAAGGCACGCAGGTTAGGCTGACAGGTGACTCTAAATTATTGGATGTGAGTAGTTGTTGGGCTCTTTGTGTCAACCCTGCTATAGGCTGGCAACCTGTCCAGGTTGTATTCCTTTCTCTCAGTGTTGGCTGAGATTGGCTGCAGCACAGTTGTTTAGTAAATGATGTCATTTTCAATTGTTAAAATAATTGCCATTTTCTATTGAGCAGCCCATTAACTGACAAACTTTCATGCTAATATAAACCATATTTGAATCGTATGGGTGTTACAGATTAGCACTGCAGTACACTTTTTGGTATACATGCACCTGTAACACAAAATACCCAAAGTCTGCTTGTGAAGGATGAACAGTAACCTGGAATAGATACCTTGAGCTTTTGCTTTGATAGATGTGGCACCAGATAGTCCAGGTGAGATGAGGCTTGCTGCTAGAACTGGGAGAGGAGAGGAGAGGAGAGGAGAGAAGCACACCAAAGGCTATGACTTTAACCATTGGCTGAAGATAATTTTCTATTAAAAACACAAAACTAGATTTTCAAATAGACGCGTAATAAGTTATGCAACGTGTTTACACTTGTGAACTTACTGATGGGCAGCAGAAGTTTGTGCACCATTTCTGTTCCCTGAGGATGAGTACCTGTGTCTCAGATATTGCCATTAAATTGAGTTGAGAAATCCGTTTGGTCAGTTCCCGCGTCCCATCAATGGGGAAATTTCGTTGTTCCGCTCATCAGCTCCTCATTAAATGGGCCAAATCCATGCGCAAAGAATTCGGCGTTGCCATCTCTCTCTCTGGCTCCCTGAGAGCTCACTGGATTACACTCCGGTCCTCCTCAGACCTTCACAATTTCTGCTCCACCTTTAGATTGAGTTAATCCTCTCACATGATATAAAACCACTGACAAAGCTGCGTCCATTGCAAAAGAGGGCCGAGGCAACTGACAGACGCCCTGTGCGTAGCCGATGTGTACGCGCATCACTCAAAAATATGTGCCTAAGTATGAGCATCGTTATCACAGTTGGTCAATTAAGTCAAATATTTTAGAAAGCTTTTTCAATGTTCTATATCCATTATCTAATACATATAAAAAAAATAAATAAATAAAAATAGATTAAAAGCTTAAATTAGGATTAAATCAAGAATGCACTCATCCACTTGGACTACATTTACTTATATAAAACCCATGCACTCTAAAGTAAATGTTGTCAACATAAATTAATCAGCAAAATTTACTTAAAGTACTGTATCAAAAAGATTGCATGCAATACTCACACTGACAATATAACATTATTTGTTATATGAGTGAATTATTATTACTGATGCATTATACATTTGAATTTTATAGTTGATTATGAGAGCGCCAATAGTGTTTGGTAGTTTGACCCATAAAAATGCATAATATTTTAGAAACTGATCAGTGTTTTGAATGCAATACCCTCATATAAACTGCACTAGCTTTGTCATATAAATGTATTCGAGTAAATGTTCCTTAAAGTAAAGTTCATTAAAAACAAAAGCTCATATAAGTAAAGGTCGTCAAAGTAAACAGCTTGAGCTTATTCCTGTCAGTGTCATGGCTGGCTTGAGCAGATCTCATCCTGCCTGATCCCGCATAGACAGAAAATGCTCTTATGGCTAGTTTTAAAAGGCTATAACAAACAACCGGTTCCTGCATACATAGGTGGCTGCATGTGCTGCTTGTTGCCTATATTGGTTATGATTACCACCTTACCATCATATTTTGTTATACTGTACTATCTGAAATAGGGTCCTTGTGAAATATACAAAACCAAAATTTGCTGGCAGAAATACAGTAATACTGTTAATGATTAATTATTAGGAAGCAAAGTATTTGCAAGCTTAGCTTAATTTACAGTAACTGTGGGGAGGGACAAATAAGAAATGAGCAAACACAGATCACAATATAGCATATTACATAATGAGGGTGTCATTATAGAATGACCTGGGATCAACAGCTGATCTGAGTTACTGGATTCTACTACTTTCATGATCAATATGCTGTATTTTAGCTTTATTTTGCTCATGGTTTTCTTACATGTTTGTTTAGATTGAATACAAACGTTGAGTGATGTTTTAACTGTATATGGACTTTTGAGTGAATTGGCCTTCAGATTAAAATCTTCTCGTTGGAGAATCACCAACTCAGGGGTATTACAGTTTTCCACAATTGTTAAAACAATAAACCCCATTCTCTGAACCAAATTCTCAATAGCCTAAACCAATTTGTCGAATAAATCACTCGTTCTGCAAAACCTTAAACAAGTTCAGGCACTTAGACTCTGTTAGCAAATCTCATGCACTCTTTTTGCTAAACTCTAAACACATTCTCACTCACTAAAACACAATTCGCACTGAGATGAACCTGTGTTGCAAAACACTAAACAGAGGACAGCAGAACTTGAACACAACTAAAGCACAGTTGTCATCGTTTACACACAACGATTCAAAGTTGTTCACATTTGTTTCTAATTATGTGATGAGATGGTATAAATCATAAGCCAGTTCAAAGTGCACAGATGGCACGGGTACATCCGTCAATTATAGATAACAATATGAGAGGTAGAGGAATATGAGGTGTTGGACAAAAAGGACGAGGAAGAGTAAGACCTCCCACCATACAGCACTGCCCTCAACCCATTAGAAAAGTTTTGCTCTGCATGGCGGTGGAAAGTCTATGACCGAAACCCATATACCAGGTAAAATCTCTTACAGGCAATGGAACTGG